AAAATCTTATCGGATTCTTAACGATTGCCCAATAACGACCTGACACGTCAATGGATTCTTAACGAATTTGCTAATAATGACCTGATTTTTTAATAGGTTGATCCAAAATCCATTATCTTTGAATCGTTTAGTGTCCGATTAACGGATCGTCTAAAAAATTGTCAGGGCTAGTTTTGGTTTTCAATTAAGGCCCGATTGACCCATTAAGCAGTTGAAGTAGGATCCAGAAAAAAACGGGTAGAAACAAAAGCAGACAAAACTCACTCACATTCTTCCTACTTTCTACTCCTGCACAAAACAAAACAAAACAAAACCATTAAATATTGATTTTATCTTCAGAAAAAGAATTATTAATTTATTAATTATTTAAACCATTTTGAAAGTAGAGGATTTTGTTTCCAGGACGTTGCCCTCCCATCCCATGATTCTTTTGGTTCCTCCTCCAACGAACCGGTAGACAAACCACCTGATACGCCCGCCGCGAATTTCAGTTAGCATCTCGATTGGGCATGCTGAAATCCTCTCGATTTCTGAATCTAGGGTTCCGATTCTTATTCAGGCCAATCGATTCTTCAATTTCGTCCGGAAGAATTGTTCAATTGTGAGCTGAGCTGCTGACGATCATCAACAACCACCAGCTTTTTGCAGCAACCGACATTTTGCAGGTGCTTTTTCTTCTGCTCTATATTATCTGGGTGTGCCTGTTTACGTGTTTTTATGGTGTGGAAACTGGGATTGTGGAGTTTGAGCCACCAAGCTTGTAGCTTTTGGATTTCTGATGCTTTCGTTTTTGTTTTGGTGGCACTGGGATTGGGATTGGAGTTCTTAAAATTTTGGTTTTAGATTTCCATGCTTTGTTGAATCGTATGCTTATATCCCATAATTTATTTTCTTGAAATTTTGATGAATTGGGTCTCTTTATTTTAGTTTAAGATATATTCTTGAGTAGATACAATCATATTTAGCACACATGAACTATAGAAAGTATTTTCCTTTATGGCGGAAATGATTTTCACACACCCCTGTTTATTTCTGGGACCGAAAATGGCTGTGAGGAATTTATTTCCCTTTATTTTAATCAAGAAGTTATGCAATCGTTGGCCCTGGAATTGTATGCATATAGATATAGACAAGTGTTACATCAAAATTAAAGTCGTTTGTTTTTTAATGTTGCAGCATTGAGAGCTCATACATAATGGAGGACCTCAAAGAGAGGCTGCTTCCACCAAAAGTCCCAAAACCTGCATCAGCTGTAAACCTTCGCGAAGCATCTTATCGATCATCTGCCTTTGGAAGGCAACCTTTTCAAGGAGTAGATGTTCTGGGGCTGAAGAAGCGGGGCCAGGGCCTTCGGTCTTGGATTCGCGTTGATACGTCTGGCAATTCTCAGATCATTGAGGTTGATAAGTTCAGCATGATGCGTCGTTGTGATCTTCCTGCTCGTGATCTACGCCTGCTTGATCCTTTATTTGTTTACCCTTCCACCATCCTTGGAAGAGAGAAAGCTATTGTGGTTAATCTAGAGCAGATTCGATGTATTATTACGGCCGATGAGGTTCTGCTTTTGAATTCCCTTGATAGCTATGTATTGCAGTATGTGGTGGAGCTTCAGAGAAGATTGACAACAAATGGAGTAGGTGATGTTTGGCAGTCTGATGGTTCTGGCTTGAGTCGGCAGAGAGGAAATAGAAATTTTGATAGTGTGTTTGGGAGCACATCACCTGATTATTTGCCCTTTGAGTTTAGGGCTTTAGAAGTTGCTCTGGAGGCTGCCTGTACATTTCTCGATTCTCAGGTATGTAAGGGAACACAAGAATTTAGGATCTCTATCACTGCTCATTACTAGATGTGGGCAATGACTGTTATTTCTGCAAGGACATATTTCTAAAAGTATTTTGATAACTATGCAACAGGACCGGTAAATACTTAATAGGTTTTGAAGACTTGTAAGTAATACAAAAAAGTGGAGTGCATACCCTAATAACCATATCTGTCACATTTTGTTTAGCTCAAGTACCACAGATGCTTGAGCTGGCATTGAGACATGGTGCAAATTGGCTATAGAACTTCATTCATTTACTGGTACATTTAATATTGCCTTTCTTTTACGATTATATTTATGTTTGGTTAATGAAATCTAGTGTTGTCCGTCGAATGCAAAAATGTTATTTGTTTTAGTGGGAGACTAGGCTATGTCGAATCATACTTCTTCTGCCTTTTATTTTACATTGATAGGATCAAGGGTCTGTGTACCCTCTTGTCAAGGTGCTATTGCAATACCAAATATTGTTATTATTAAAGGAAAATGTTTTGTTTTGATTTTTTCCTCTTTTCTTAGTCTCTATATGATGCCAAACAATAGTATGGTTGTATTCTTTCACTAGTTGAAGAGATGAAGTTGCTGAGGATTTAGAAATTCAGTGGATTTGTACGGTCCATTACATAAGGTTTTATATAGTTTTGAGTTCAGTTCCTTATTGGTGACTGATAATGATACTTGCCGAGTTGCCACAGCCGGTTATGTGGTTAAATTTTTTTTTTTTTTTGTGATGATTGGAGCTAAGAACCGAGCGCAATGGCGTTCTAGGATTCATATAGCCGACCCCACTTAGTGGGAAAAAGCTTTGTTGTTGTTGTTGTTGATGATGATTGGAGTTAAGGACTTGGTTCCTTGTTACTTTGAGGACCTTGTGCCCCTTACGTTTTATTCATCAAGCACTCAACATAGTGGTATCTGTGGTGTGGTGTTTGAAATTGAAAACATGAGGCTTTAGACAGTGAAGAACACTGATGGTTGAATAATCTTTTTGTCATTGAATATTCGTATGTACTTTAAGTTTTAAATAAATTGGTAAGTTATTGGAGGTCGAGTGAACCTTTTCAAATTAAATCAGCAGCACCCTTTTCTAGTTTTGGTAAGTGGGCACGAGACAGTGCAGACTTAGTTGGGGAAAAAGAAATTAGTTTATTCATTTCTACCCCAATATTTTACTTGTAGTTCAACATTTTGCATCTCCTTTTGCATTTTATTTCCGCACTTTTAGGTTTTAGAGTTGTATCCTCGTGGAAATTCCACAGGGAGTAGTATACAGAACATTGATGGATGCTATTAATTACAAAGTTCCTTTGATTATTGTTGTTGATTACAGCAGTTGCCATTTAGCCAAAAGAGAGATTGCATTTGTTTGTACGTTGATGTTTTATTTTTTTTAATTTTTTTCATCATTTTTAATCACGTCAGAGTTCAAGAAATGCCCCAACGTTGCTATTTTTTTCTGCTTAGAGAGTTGTTTTTGTCAAAACAAAATTACTTCTTTTAGTTTCTTAGCTTCTAACTTCGGTATTCAGCAGACTTCTTGTTGTCTGTTTTGTATTCTTGCGAGATTAATCAATTTTAATAATATATTGTTTCTCTAAAAAGTAAAATATACATGGATTTGTTATATTTACAGTATGCCCGTTGATTATTAATGCTGTACACAATTTTGAATACACCATCCGTAGTTTGAAGTATGAACTTGGATCATTTTTTGGTGGCTAAACATTCTCCAAGTTAGTAACTCATTTATTAATGGTGTATTGTATAGGCAGCCGAACTAGAAATTGAAGCATATCCATTACTGGATGAGCTCACGTCAAAGATCAGTACACTAAACTTGGAACGTGCACGTCGTTTGAAAAGCAGACTTCTTGCCTTGACTCGGAGAGTTCAGAAGGTATTGTATATTTATCTACTAATTAGCTTCATCCTGCTTAAGCCACCATGACAAAACAAAACTGTATTCCAACGTTTGAGCTGCCTCTGTTTAGGTTCGGGATGAAATAGAGCAGCTCATGGATGATGATGGAGATATGGCTGAGATGTATCTCACTGAGAAGAAAAGTCGCATGGAGTCAGCATTTTATGGTGATCAATCTATGATGGGGTACAGATCTACCGACGGTCCATCTCTTTCTGCTCCTGTTTCTCCTGTGTCTTCACCTCCCGATGGCCGAAAGCTTGAGAAAAGCCTGAGCATTGCAAGGAGTAGACATGAAAGCATGAGGAGTTCAGAAAGTGCCAAGGAGAGTATAGAAGAGCTTGAGATGTTACTGGAAGCATACTTTGTTGTCATTGATAGCACCCTCAATAAGCTGACATCGGTAAGCATAGAACTTGTTTTTTAAATTGACACCACTGTATGTATATCGACGACTATATCTAATCATTCCCTTGTTATATTAACCCGAGAAGAATACAAGCTTATGTTATTTCTGTCCCATGTCTCAGTTGAAAGAGTACATTGACGACACCGAAGATTTCATTAACATTCAGCTGGTAAGTGCCTTGTTATCCTGAATAAATTTCTCTGCCTGGTTTCATTGAGCTTTCATTGTATTGGTGGAACCGAATTTTAACATGAGAAAGTTTTTGCGCTCAGGATAACGTTCGAAACCAGCTGATTCAATTTGAGTTGCTACTCACGACTGCAACGTTTGTTGTTGCCATATTTGGGGTTGTGGCAGGAATATTTGGGATGAATTTCGAAATATCATTGTTTGATGAGCCTGCTGCATTTCAGTGGGTACTTATAATTACAGGAGTAACTGGCTTTTGCATATTTTCTGCATTTGTGTGGTTCTTCAAGTACCGAAGACTGATGCCACTTTAGATGTAAGCTTAAACCTCAATCAAGGAATATTTGTTGCCATTTTATTTGTACCGTCTCAGAATAATCGAAAGTTGGCTCGATGCTTCAATTCTTTCGATATGATTCACAAGTCTGTATTTGATCCATGTATACGAAATTTTCTCCCGGTCTTGATGAACAAGGGTGGAGACCGAAGAACGAAAGAGGAAAGTGTTGTATGTGCCGGGCAATGGAAAAATTTAGGTGTCACAAGCACGTCTTACATCCGTCTTGAGAGAAAGTGACACCAAGCAATGAAGGGAAAATGCAACGTTTTAACTTGCGTTTCTTTCCCGTTGCCGCGTTAAAAACATCAACTACATAAACCGATCAACAAATTCGCCATTCACACAAGGGCGTCCTTGTTTTGGTTCAACAATCAAGACACCGGAGTTTTTAACCGAATGTTACCGAACAATGCAAGCTCAAGATGATACCGAACGGAACCCGTTGCGAGCTAGAAATCAAATGAATTCCTCACATGGATGCACCTCAACATGACTGGAAACAGAAGTTCGGTTCTGCCTAATCATTCAAAACGATGCCTCATAAGCCGTACGTTTGTACCTATCGAAAAGAAAATAAGCAAAACAACCCATTGCTCCTCAAGGATCATGAGAAGCCACTCTTCTGGAAAACGGGTCGAGGAAGGCAAAAAGAGTGTCAAACAACAAAGATACATTGCAGAGGAGATTCTTCAACATGAAATCATTTAGCAGCGGCAGGCGCCCCGGAAGAAAGTCTTTGACTCCTTGCCTTATCAGCTTTTTCCAAGTAATCTTGATGAGATTGATGCTTTGCCCCTACAGGAGAGAAGATGAATTATATTAGATTGGCCGATGAGGAAACAGAGACGGGCAAAATGGCGTTAACACTACCAACAGGTAACCGAAACAAAATCCCATAACGGAGTCTTAACTCCATCGGACAAAGCATAGTCATGAACTATAACCATTCAATCAAAAAGCCTTACGCTCGGATATCAACAAAAGAAACTGCCACGAAATCGGTAACATGTATTTCGCTACAATATGGTGAAATCAAAGTGGCATGATGCTGTGGAAAACAGTAGTGTAGATTGCTGGCTCTCTTTTTTCACAGAATAGAGTAGCAGAACAAAATGCTGCTGAAGTTATAGGAGCCCAAATTCTTAAGTAATTGCAACCAAGGTATAAAATATCGATGATATCAGAAATATTGATAGTCAAAAAACACGGAAATTTCGATGGAAATATCAGGATATTATCGATATCAATAAAAATTGAATAAAAACCACGGAAATTGTAAGAAAAACTTGAAAATTTTTATTGAAACTTTGCAGGATGTTTATTTAGTTAATTATCTATTAGTTTATCACAAAAAATTGGAAGGAAATGCATTGCATAATAGATATAACTGATTTAAGTTGATTATATAGCGAGCTACAAAAAATTATGAGTGTAGAAAATATGTAGTAATTAATGAAAGAGGTTTAAACACACCATAATCATTTATATATAATGAATTAGTACAATATTGTACACTTTATACATTGCATGGTAAGATACATGAGTGAGTCTAAAATATTGATCGGAAATATTGGTAGTCCAAAAAAATATCAGTAGTCCAAAATCACGAAAATTTCGATGGAAATATCGGGATATTATGAATATTTTAGACTATGATTGCAACAATTAATTCATGAATGCAAATTAGAGTAACTTTCACTGCTCAGATAGGCATAACCCAAATATAATTGTTAACTAATACATTGTAATCAATTAACAGCAACCAACCAACTGCAAAATTTCAGATGATTACGGGAAATTTGATTTAATTTATACATTTCCAGTGTTTGGTTGCCAAGAAAATGAAGGAAAATTCTAAATCCTAAAATCCGTAGCTGTATTCACCAAAACCCAAAAACGGCAGCATATAAATCGAAAGCGAAGTAAGGAGATACGAACCTCGATTCATGAGGTACCAAGGAACGGCAAAGACGGCGCTGATAATAACGATGCCTGCAAATACGTGCTTCTTCTCACCGCTGTACAAGTAGTGCTCCATCCTCGCCCTAAATCCCCTTCCGCCACCACCACCGCCACCGCTTCCTCCTCCTCTTCCTGCAGCTGTTGTGCTATTGGTTTTGGCCTCGCTGCTCATCTTCTTTTGCTTTCTCGCACTCTTTCTTTTCTCTTGCGGTTTCTTACTTTTGCTAAAACTCAGGCTTCTGCGTCGTGTTTCGCCACGGGGTTTTAAGGCCCAGTCACTGTGTAGAATTCCAAGCCACCGGTTTATTTTCTTTGTATATTCTCTCTTTTATACAAATAAATATACAAAAAAACAAAAAAAAACGCTACTCATTTCGAACTAGTAATATTCTTTTTAATTTGTAATCCGTAGTTTAATTTGCGTTGAAGGAAAATTTAAAACATTATTGCTAGCCAATTTCAATACGATTATGAACACGAGCATGAAATACTAAAATTAGCTGAGGCAAAAATATATATTAAAGAAAAAGTTGTTAAGGGTGTTACTGAATAAAATGGCTGACTCATTAATATCATTGGTTGGATTTAAATATATGTTAATTTAATGGGTTAGATTTCGATAATCTGTTATAAAAATGATAGTTGTCGACCCGACTTAAGCCCATTAAACACAACATAAAAATGATAGTTGTTGACCCGACTTAAGCCCATTAAACACAACCCATTGCCAGATCGAATAACATCAAATTGAAACTAACAAAATCAGTGGTTAGACAACTACAAATGTCATCCCTAAAACCAAGATTAGTACATCAGTAATCACAATTTAGATTAAATACCGAAAAGATGTAAAACTTTTAACATTCAACAGTTCAAATTAAGATATTTGCACGGTAAAAAGTGTTATATCACTGTACACAAGTAAATAGACAAACATTGTTCCTAATGAAAAATAAATAGTCATAAAATGACAAAAACACCCTAACCTATTAATTTTAAACTCCTAATTAGAAAGTTTTTTCTATCAAGGTAACTTTATTACCAAGAAAATAAATTTACAAGAAAGAGACCGAATTGCAATAAGCACACAACAGAGGTATGGAATCAAAGTACATCAAAATAAGCCCAAAAGAAAATTATGGACCCAAAACAAAAGAAAAACCGAAAAAAAAATCCTAACAACTTGCGATCGTCACCATCGTCAGAAGAACACCTATCGAACTAGCGCCACCAACAATCGCCTGAAATCGAGCCAAACAGAGCCCTCGAAGTGGATAAAAAGAAGACTGCGACTTCCTCCAAGGAGCTCCACATAGTTCTGCACCACAAATTGAAAGAAGCTCGCACGAAACAACCCGCAAACAACAATATCAATAAGAGCAACAAGAAAAAATAAATAAATAAAAAAAGAGAAAAAGACTGTGGTGTAAACACACGAGCAGCGAAAAATCCGAAAGCTCTACGCACCTTCCTAGGAACTTATTCAAAAGGCAAACACTTAAATTGAAAATACAAGATTGAATCCGGATCCTCGCCAGATCCTCTTTGTGAGGATTACGGGAATCCCTGAATCATATTCGTTCATCGTACATCATGCGGTTAGAAATCATTTTAAATATTTTTATTTAAAATTAAATACAAACAGTACCTGATAAAAAATGACCGCATAATGTACGATAAACGAACACAATTTACGGATATCAGAATCCTCACCAAAAAGTCGAGAGGATCCTGTTGGTACAAGATTAAACTCTATTTTGGACACACGTGAAACATTATTATAAAATTGGGCAACGGCATATTTGATATCTTTCTCATTCCCTTCCTTTTTCTTGTTTGGTCAACGTTCCTTTTTCTAATGGGTATTTTCTTGTACAAATGTATCTTCCTCTGTCCTAACTTTCCTACCCTTTTCCGTTCTTTCTTGTTAGTCAAGCTACAGCTCCGATCATGGCTGATGCAGTCGCCTTGGTCTCCAGACTCATAGACCAGCTCCAAGAAAAACACAGGTTCCCAGAGCTCGCCAGAATCCTCCGCGACATCGAACCTGTTCTAGAGGACGCCGAGAAGAGGGGAGTGAAGGAGGAGCCAGTCAGAGTGTGGTTGGACAAGCTCAAAGACGCCAGCTGCGACATCGAGGACGTGCTCGATGAGTGCTGCAGCGCTGCCGTCCCTGAATCAGAAGATACCCAGAAGGAGGAAGAAGAAGAAAGTCGTGGAATATCGAAAGCTTTTAGCTTTGTGAAGGTATGCTTTTCCCAACTCACCTCGTGCTTTTGTTGCACTGATATAGTCGATTGGGTTCGAATTGCAAAGAGGATAAAGTGTTTGAGGGAAAGACTGAGTGAAATTGCAACTGAGAGACATAGGTTCAACTTTAATTCTGTAAAAAATAGAGAGATTGAACAATCCGGGAGACTAGGAATTGGAACTGCCACTTATAAGTTAATTGAAGAAGTAGAGTCCGCAATCTATGGTCGAGACGAAGATACGAAGATTTTGATAAGCAAATTGGTACCTGAGCGGAGTGAAGGGTGTTGGGGGAATGGTGTAATCTCAATTGTTGGGGTGGGTGGAATGGGGAAAACCACTCTTGCCCGGTTAGCATATAATGATCAAAGTGTCAGAACCCATTTCGATCTGAGGATATGGGGTTGCGACTCTGTTTCGCCTGATGAGCCGAGGGTTGCCAGAGAAATTCTTGAAGCTATCCCTCGTAAGAGTGGAACGTTGAACTTTGTTGAACGGGAAGCTTTGTTAGAGAGTATTCGTGCATCGATTGGTGGAAAGAAGTTCCTTCTAGTCCTTGATAATGCGTGGGATCTCTGGGATGGAGACTTCTCAAAGGGGTATGTTCTTTGGAAGCTTTTGCGTTTTGGTGCAGCAGGGAGTAGGATTTTGCTGACTGCAAGATCTAGCAACATTGCTAAGATGATGGGAGCTACTAGCGTAATTGATCTAAGCGCAGTGTCGCAGGAAGATGCGTGGTTAATGTTTAGACAGAGAGCTTTTTTCGGAAGGGATGCAAGTGAGTGCAAACAACTCGAAAGAATTGGTAAGAAAATTGTAAAGAAGTGCTATGGCTTGCCTCTTGCGATAAAGACCTTGGCGGGTCTCATGCACTTTAAGAATACCAGAGGACAGTGGGAATCTGTTTTGCGAGAAATGGTGTGGGAATTGGGACATGCCAACAACATAAGCACTTTTGACCTGCTTCTGTTTAGCTATCATGATCTGCCACCTGTGCTTAGATGTTGTTTCTCATATTGTGCAATATTTCCGAAAGGTCATGTCATTGAGAGAGACAATTTGATCAAAATGTGGATGTCGCAAGGTTATCTTGGTTTCAATGTCGACAGAAATAAAGAGAAGGAAATACTAGGCCAAGAATGCTTTATGAATTTAGCGATGCGGTCTTTCTTCCAAGACTTTGAAACAGACTATAAAGGGAGCATTGTAAAATGCAAGATGCATGAAGAAGTGCATCGCTTGGTCCAATATGTCACAAGGTATGACTGCTTTATCACGGGTATTGATTGCGTTGAAGAGTCTGGCAGTGGAGGCACCTGTGACTCTTCTTTTGTCCTAGCACCTGGGGCTGACCTCGGAGAGGCAAACATTGAAGTAGCCCGTCATTCTACTTTTGTCCTAGCACCTGGGGCTGCATTTCCTAACTCAGCATGCAACGGAAAAGGACTGCGTACACTCTTCACATTGAGTTCACTGAACATTGCGATAAACCCTGATATACTCTTGCATCTAACATGTCTGAGAACACTAAATCTGAGTCGCTGCTGGTTCAAAGAACTACCGGAGGAGGTTGGAAAGTTTATACATTTGAGATATCTCAATTTATCTAGCAACGAAGAGCTGGAAAGGTTGCCTGAGACGCTGTGTGATTTATCTAACTTGCAAACTTTGTTGATCAACGATTGTATGCGAATTAGAAAACTACCAGAGAGGATGGGGAAGCTATTGAACTTAAGACACCTTCACATTGATTGTTCTTTTAATCTAGAGAGTTTGCCCAAGGGAATTGCAAAACTGACTTCTCTACAGACACTAGATATGCTCGTCCTACCACAGTATGACAACGAAGAAGCATTTAAGCTGGGAGATTTGAAATTTTGAACAAGCTTGAAGGGTATCTTCATATATGTAGGTGTGGGAACCTAGAAGATGTGAATGAGGCTGAGAAAGCGGAACTCGTAAACAGAGGAAACCTTGTTGATTTGACTCTAGATTTTGATGGGAGTGAAGAGAGGGGGCTCGAAGATAAAATTATACTTGAAGCTTTACAACCACATCCGAATTTGGAATCTTTAGAGATTCGGAAGTATAGGGGCAGAACCGTGTCTCCAGATTGGATGATGAGTTTAACGAATTTGAGAAGGCTTATCCTGCATTCCTGCCTGGATTGTGAGTCTCTACCTCCTTTGGGGAAACTCCTGTCCCTTGAATCACTCGAAATATGTCATATGAAAAGCATGAAAAAGGTGGGGTGCGAGTTTTTGGGGATAGAAACCGGTGGTGCAGAAAAGTGCTGTTTAGTTTCATTCCCGAAACTGAGGGAACTTCGTTTTTCTTCCTTGTTCAAGTGGAATGCGTGGGTAGGGGCATCAAAGTTCAAGAAAGAAGATAGTTCGACCCAAATAATGCCATGCCTCATGTCCTTAGAGATTGACTCCTGCTTTTGCGTAAAGGCTTTGCCACACTTCTTGAAAGAGATACCGCTGCAGAATTTGACGATCAGCAAGTGTAAGATCCTCCAAAAACATTGCCAAAAGTCGAAAGGAAAAGAGTGGTCCAAGATTTCTCACATCCCAAATATCAAATTTAACGTTTGATGCGTGCATTCGAACAGGACACCTCTTGAGTTACGCTTTGAGACTCTCAGGCATTGCAGATTTGATGAACTTCCCCTTCAGACATTTTTTTTTCCTTTTCAAGGATATGAGTTTGTCATAGTTCGTTATTGCTTGTTTTCCTTCAAGTATTACTACATGAATGGAAGAAATGTACATACATTAGCAGTTAGATAACAAATTTTCGGGTTTGTATATATATTTGCTGGATCGACTTTGGATACATTAGCAGTCGGTAACAAATTTAAGCGTATAACGATTAACGAAGTGTGGTTGCAACCAGATAAAGCAAGCTGACTAGCCAGTCATCTGAAACTGAAAGCCCTGGTCAGCTTGCTGTATTGGGATGAAATACTAGATGATGTTCTCGTATGCGCACCTGGGCTCTTAGTATATAGCTCAAGTTCTAATTCATGCAGAAAAGTAGATCATGTCGACGTTGATTACATGGGTAAACGTTTATCCATCCAAGTAATCAACGTCAACATGAAAAGACGGTTTGACGCGTGGGTCAAGAAGAGATGATCCTTGAACTAAACTATTTACCATAGGTCCATTTACAGGTGCTTTTATGCCAACGAAATCTTGAGTGTTTTTAGTTTGAAGAGCCTTTGAATTTAATCCAGGAAGTACTCTTTGAAGATTGTAATCCTTCTTAATTTTGTAAAAGCGTAGTCTGTTGTGCTTGTTATCTCACCAACTTATAAACCCACAATTAAACAATTTAAAATACAAGAAATAAAGACACCAAGAGAATTACGAGGTTCGGCAAAAACCTGCCTACGTCATCGGAGATATATTGCTTTTCACTATGAGAATAACTAGTACAAAATATACATGAGTTAAATTGACATAACCAAAACCCCAATCTCTTGTACACTCACAGAATTTTTCCAAGAGCCTCACTCTCCCCAAGAGTTTCTCACTCTCACTCTATTTTCTTTTTCCTCTGTGTTTTCCGGATGCACACTCCTCTTCTTCACACTAGGAAAGCATTTATATACAATGCAAGCAATTCCTTGCATTTAAATAAAGGTCATCATTTTCATCCCCCAGCTTTTACGGAAGGCTTCTACATGCTTTGCATGAAACTATGCATCCCTTCCCTTTGCCTTTAAACAAATCACAATGCCACCTTCACGTGAAAAAAGCAAATGGGAAAACATGAAAAGAAAACCTAGCCTATGAAGTAGACTTTTTTCATGCATAGAAAGCATACATATTTACGTGCAAACAAACACAAAGACAACACTTTGCTACAGCCATTTCCCTGTAGCACATAAAGCTAAACTATCAAAATTGTTGCCAACTCAAACTATGAGCCAATCACAACATAATCTACTGTTTGGAAGTGAAACTTACATGGAACGACAAGAAGTTCGCAACTGCAGTGGTGTCACATTTTAATAATGTATTGGGTGGTGGTGAACATATTCCATGTAAGTACACGAACACAGTTTAATGACTTAGTTCAATGATTTACTAGGATTATTTTTTATTTATAAGTGAGAGATCTTATATTTAAATATCATGATTAACGAGTTTAAAATCAATATATGGCCAATTATATTAATATATATATATATATATATATATATATATATTTAAGAGTGCCGAAGGTGGAAGGGGAGTGCAGACTCCCCATTTATTTAATAAAGAATAAAAAACAAGCTTTTACCCAAAAAAAAAAAGAAGTGAAAACAATGTTAATTGCGTTTAAATCATCCGTCCATGGACAAATTTCGCCAATAAGTATTTCACCATTTTCGATGAATACTCTAAACTATTGTTACACAGGGATTAAATTGGTGCAAGATGTGCTTCAAATGTAAATTCAATTTATGTCACGTCAACACTTCATTTTTACTATAAATTACAAAAAACTAGCTTAACTATTGAGTTAACTACAGTTTCATACCACATCTTAAAAACATTTCAATGTCATACCTTATCTTCGAATTTATTGTAATGTCATACCTTCTGTCAGTTTGTCTATCAATTCATCTATTAAATGCTTAAGTGCCTTGAGGCATGACCCATTTTCTATTAAAAATTTTAAAATACAATTATTTAAATATTTTTATAAAAATAATGTGGGACCCACCCACATTCTTCCTATCCCACCCGTCTCCCCCACCCTTTCTCCCTTCACTCCAAAACTAGAACCCTACAGTGACTCTCCCTCGCTCTCATCCTCCCCACTCGATCGTCTTCTCCACCTAGCCACCCATCCATCCAGTGGCGGATCTACAGAGGGACCTGGGAGGTCCCATGACCCCTCGGCGATCCTAAATTGCTGCTAGAAATTTTCCGGAGGACCCCTCGTACTCGACACGAGGTCTGTGCTACGGGTTGGAGTTGCAGGTTCTAATGGAGAAGAAGACAGCTGGGAGGGGAAGAAGAAAGAAAACAGGGCCTTTTAACAATTGGTCCAAAACGGCATAGTTTTGGCCAATTGTTTTAATTTAATAAAAAGCAATGAGACAAACTCTGTTGTTTGTCCATGATGTTCCATATTCTTTTAAAGCCCCACATGGGCCGCATCCTTCCCGAGAGTCCCTCCCGTTTCCTTTCCCCACTCCTCTGCTTTTCTCCTAATCCCCATCTTTCTTATATTCACCCAAAACCCAATTTCTAATCCCACCCAATTCCTAATCCCACCCAATTTCATATTATAATTACATTACTCCAATATCATACATCCACTTGTTTCAATTCTCCAAGCCACCACTATTTAGTTCAAAGTTCAAGTATGTTTTTTGGTATTCTAATCTAATCTCAATTAAATTATATTAGATATTGGTGGAGATTTTTAGTCTATTATTGATATGGTTGTTGATATGTTTTATGTTTGTATACTCATTTTATCATTGCAATTTAGATGGAATTTTTGTTTATTGGTTGATTGGTATATATTTTGTGTTTTTGGTTAAATGTGTAGTTTAGAAATGAGAAATATGGAAAGATTTTTCAAGCCAAAGCCAATAGCACCATCTAATTTTTGAATGAAGTGTATTATATTTAACTTTTCAATGTTATTTTTATCTATAAATTTTTTTACCTTTATTATTGGGACCCCCGAATTTAAAATCCTGGATCCGCCACTGCATCCATCTACACTCCAATCAAGCCATTCCTCTCCATGCTCGTCTTCCCTTACACCCCTCTGCTACCGCACATGCCGCTCCGTCCTCAACCCCTTCTCCACCGTCGATTACGCTGCCAAGATCTGGATCTGCCTTTTCCGCTTCACCTGCAACCAATTCCCTCCCCACTACACCTCTATCTCCGACGAGAACCTCCCCGCCATCGTCCGATGGCCGTACTCTTTTCCGATGGTGTGGACGAACACAGCAGACACCACGACATCGAAGTACCCATCCCCGAATGGCAGTCTCCTGAGGTCGACCATTCATTGACTGAGCCGACCATGTGCTGGGCGACGTCATAATAGAGGGGGAGTGAGAAGTATATGAAGTGTCCAGATGCGAATAAGAGGTAGATGGCGAAAAGGGCGATGACGGAGCCAGTGAACCCGGTGGCAAAACAGGCGGTGTCGATGGGGAGGATGTGGTGGAAGAAGAGGGTGACAGAGTTGAAATAAGTAAGGTAGAGGAGTGACAGAACAGTAAATAGGACATCATTGAAGAGAAGGAAGAGAATGGTGTGCAACTGGTTGAGACCGTAGATTGCGTAGATCTGATGGTTTCCCCATCTTCCTCTCTCTGAACATGTTTCCAGAAGGCATCAAATCTCCAAGACTTTCAACAAATTCGAAGAAGGTGGATGGGAAAGGAAGGTTGGGGGTTAGGGACACGGGTGGATGGGGAAGAATGTGGTTCTGGTTTTGGAGTGAGGGGGTAACGGTGGGATAAGATGAAGGTGGGTGTGTCCCACATTATTTTTATAAAAATATTTAAATAATTGTATTTAAATTTTTTAATATTTAATGAAATTTTTAATAGAAAGTGGTCCCGTCTCATGCCACGTCAGCATTTAACAGATAAATTAATAGACAAACTGATGAAATGTATGACATTGTAACAAATTCGAAGATAATGTATGACATTGAAATATTTTAAAGATGAGATATAAAACTGTGATTGAACCAATAGTTAAAGTAATTTTTTGTAACTTACCCTAACTTTTAAGTATACAGTGAAATTGACGATGAATAAAATGGTGCAATTAAAAAAACTACAAGGTGTAATATGCGAAACTTTAAATCGCGAGCTCATTTGGTAATAATCTAAATCTTGTGGTGTAAAATGAGAAAACAGTGTGGTTTGACAAAAATTAAAATAAATAAAGTTATCTCCTTCCCTCTCTCTCTCCGTCTCGCGCGCGAGAGGGGGCTCGAAGACAAAAATTAATATGAAGCTAGATTTTGATTGGGGTGGAGAGCGCAGGCTTGAAGATGAAATAATACCGGAATGCTTACAGCCACATTCAAATTTAGAATCCTTAGAGATACGGAAGTACAGAGGCAGCACCATTTCTCCGGATTGGATGGTGTCCTTAACTAATTTGAGAAGGCTTGTCTTGTATTCCTGCCAATATTCTGAGGCTTTGCCTCCTCTGGGAAAACTTCCATCCCTTGAATCACTTGAAATGTGTCTTATGAAAAGTGTGAAAAATGTGGGGCTTGAGTTTTTGGGCATAGGAACTGATGGTGCAGAAATACCATCATTTGTTTCATTCCCAAAATTGAGTGAACTTGGGTTTTCTTCCTTGGGAAAGTGGAGAGTGTGGGAAGGGAGCGTAAGGTCTGCAGAAGAAGATATTTCTTGTAGAATAATGCCATGTCTTCTTTCCTTAGAGATTAACTCCTGCTTTTGTTTAGAAGTGCTGCCAAACTTCCTGAAAAAGACACCACTACAGAATTTGACGATCACTGACTCTAAGGTTCTCCAAGACCATTGCATTGTGGGGACTGGGAAGGAGTGGGATAAGATTTCCCACATTCCAAATATCAAGATTAATTTTGAAAGCGTTCAAAGAGACGACCTCTGAGTTCACCAGCTTGTGAAGAGCATGCAGCTGAATAACTCTTGGTTCAACAAATGTGGCCCAACTAATCTGAAATCTGGTATCTTCCTCTTCTGAAATCTTTTCCTTCTTACTTTCCTTCTTCCTGCCCGTGATCTACGCCTGTTTTATCCAGTATTTTACTTGTAGTTCAATATTTTGCATCTCCTTTTAAATTTCCCCCTTATATCTCAGCACTATTTAGAATTTAGAGTTGCATCCTCGTGGAAATTCCACAGGAAGGTAATATTCAGAACGTTGACGGATGCTGTTAATTACAAAAGTCCTTTGTTTATTGTTGTTGATTACAGCAGTTGCCATTTCGCCAAAAGAGAGATTGCATTCATTTGTACGTTGATGTTCTATTTTCTCAGTTTTTTTGCATCATTTTTAATCTCTTCAGAGTTCAAGAAATGCCCAACTTTTTTTTTTCTTTTTCTTTCTTTTGGAGAGCTGTTTTTGTCAAAACAAGCTTACTTGTTTTTGTTTCTTTTTCTTTCTTCAGAGTTCATCTCAATTCCCTCGCGAGCACATACCTGACATAAGAATTCGGCCATGATATCCAAACCCGGCACCAATATCGCAAAACATCACAAAAATTGTTGACAGCAAATTATACCTTTCTGTGCCATGTCTTTTGAATTATGAACAAGATGCAGCAGAATTAGCAACTTCTCTTCCACAGATTAACTTGCAAGTTTTCATATCGCTAAATCTACCTGCTGCGAGGGGTCGGAGACTAGTTGCAAGGCAATATGAGATCATAGCCACCATCATCACCCTTATTATCGTTCCAGGCAATTAAGACTGTTATTCAAAGCATAAAATGGTCAGTACCCTTTACATCTGAAATCAGATTGCTTTCCTCTTGGAATAAATAGAAGTAACTAAAAGTACAACCATGGATTGTAGTTACAAAGTGCAGATGATGCATATGGAACAAAAGAGTAGAGGAAAAGAAGCGACAGAGAAATCCGGACTCCCTGAACTCCGGCATCACAGCTAACACATTGATCATGTGATGCAGAGGTACTCAATGACAATGAATACAATATTACATAACAACGAGCCTAAATACATGTGTAAAGTTGCACTTATGAAATGAAAATTACCACGAACATGGCTCCTGCATCATGCACCGCTTACTTGTATGGTCTGAAACAAGGGAGGAAAGCCCTCTCAACAGCTTCATTCTCCCAACCGAGCATATTCCACCATTCTTCTTCTCCAGTGATGACAAGATCACGTTTCGGGAGGTTGAGGGGAAGCTTCTTTAAATTTTGACAGCCACGGGCTTCGATTCTCTTCAGATACAGAAAGGGCAAGGTTTTGTCTCTGTATATGCTCTCCAACTGCGGTAGACTTACCAATATCAATTCATCAAGCTTTGAGAATTGATTCATCTCATCTACTTGGGCAATTTCACCCAATTTTTCAAGTCGGATTATTTCTGTCATGTTGGAGCATGAGCGTATGGATAATGTCTTGAGATTTGGAGCAAAGACGAGCCATGTCAAGTCCGACAAGTTGGCGCAATCATGTACATCCACAGCTTCAAGGTGTTTGAAGGAACTTTGGTTTAAAACATTTAAGTTGTACTCCAGACGATCACAACTGTTAATAGTAAGAGAATATGCACGTTTCATATACGCCAACGGTGATATATCAAGAAAGCTTAAACCCTCAAGGCATAGAAAACGAGTGCAGCTCAGTAGCTTGTTGGAGGTGAAAAACCTTTCGGAAATAAGATCAGTTTGTATGGTAAAGGTTAGCATATCCAAGTGCTTCAAACCTTGCAATTCACTTTCCAGGTGCGCATTATCCCCAAGAATGCTTTTACAAGTACCGCTATTATATAGTCTCAAAACTCTGAGTTTCGAAAAGCTAGACAGTAAATTCTGCGGAATCATATCAAGTTCACTGGTATGCTCCAAGTTCAGATATATTAGCTTCACCAATGCCTTTAACTCAATTGGAAGCGCTGCTATGCATGTCTCTGAAAGATCAAGATATAGTAACGAAACCAATTTCGATATTCCTGATGGCAACTGGGCTAAATCCTTGTTCTTGGACAAGTCCAAAACTCGTAGGGTGGACATAGAATTGAAGAAATTTTGAGCGACCATCTTCAAACGATTATTACTGAGAAACAAGGTATGTAGATTGGGGCATGAAGGTATTGTGTCAAGATTTTCAAGGTCATTGGCCATCAATGACATTTTTTTCACACCCTCCCATTTTTCAACATTCGGTATTTCCTTCAAAAGATGGCCAGCTTGAACCATAAAATTGTCTCTTGTTTCTTCGAGTTCACAAGCTAACCACAACGCCATATCACGAATCACATCGTGCATTTTTACATGGCCTCTTATATCTTCCAACAGACAAGAACGAACAAGAGTACCGATGATAGTGTAACCCTTGTTTAGAGCTCCATCTACATCGGCATACTCTTTCAATATTTCCTCACCCATCCATTTGTATATCAACTCATCTTTATGAATAGCATAGTCTTCCGGAAATAACGCACAATACAAGAAACAAGCCTTGACTTGGTCGCTAGATAAATTGTCGTAGCTAAGCTTCAGAAGTGGGAAAACTTCTTTCATACCTTCAAATTCCGAAGCCGATCTCCTCAAAACATCAATTGCATCTTTCCATTCTCTTGCTGTCTTCTTGCAAGACATTGCCCTGCCAACTATGATCAGAGCAAGAGGCAACCCGGCGCACTTTCTTGCCACATTCCTAGCCAGGACAGGGATTTCGGGATCAAGAGAAAGCACATCTTCCGCGACGTTAACATTCTCCCTAAACAATTTCCATGCTTCTTCCTCCTCCAAACACTTGACTCTTTTCTTGCGACCACCCATTTTGCTGCACACGTGCTCGTCGCGAGTAGTGAATATCAGTTTCGACAGGTTTGTTTCGTCGGGGTTTGGAATTCCTACCTTCTTCAGATCTACCCACTCCCACACATCGTCCAAAAGCAACACAAACTTCTTTTTCCGCAACGCCCAGAAGATCCCCTGAGCCTTTTGCCGCTCCTCTTTGTTCTCCCATTTGTCACTAGAACACCCGATTTTCCTCCCAATCTCGTTCTGAATTTTCTCAATCCTGTGATTTCTTGAAATCGGAATCCAGATTATGAAATCGAAGTCATTCGGGGTGTCGAGGTACTTGTTGTAGATCTGATCAAGCAGTGTAGTTTTCCCCACCCCTCCCATTCCGTACAACCCAACAATTCCCACTTCTGGCTCCTCAAGTTCCTTCCATAGCTCAACAATCATGGACTCCATCCCCACAGTCTGCTCCGTCTGTCGCATCTCCGGTGGCGGAGCCTCCCTGGCCACCACATCGAAAGTCCTTCCCTTCGATATCAAATCATCGACTTCCTTCCACTTCTCGTTCACGTTTTTCCCGTATTCGTAGCTTGATTTGCAGCTACTCGAGCAGCATCCTCCTGCACATAACTTCTGAAGCTCCGGATCTTTGTCTGCCAACAATTCGACGACTTCCACTTGGATATCTTTAACCCTCGACATCCACCACTGGACTTGGTCTAACCTCCTCTGCTCTTGTGCCTCGGCCCTGTCGACGTCGTTCTTCAGCGCTTTCAATTCTTCCAACGCGTTTGTGAGGGACTTGAGATTTTTTTCCATGGAACAAAGGTAGGCTGCTCGTCCGAAGGTGCAGTCCAGGCAGCGACTGATGAGGGCGTCGCATGTCACTTGCAGAGTGACTGAGCAGCAATTTCCCATCTTTCAGGCAAGAGAGGATCAATTCAGAAAGAAAACTGACAGGAAGAAATATTCTAAAAAGATTTGTGTGGATGACACTGGAGATCAACCGCTGCACCAGTTTCCCATCTTCACCGGTTGCCTCCAAGAACCTGTTCCAGTCAACCGACAAGTTGCTTCTAAGTCTAATCATTCTATATTTTCAATCATTAGGGTATATTAGTATTTTTATATTAATCTTTGGTTATAATTATCATAATTTTACAAGGGTGGTTATAATTAATATGGGATTCAAATTTGGTTATTTTTCTAAATATTTCCACTATTTTTAGTTGAACATCAGAGACGAACAATATTATAAAATAACAAGAATATTATTAAACAAAAAAATACAAAAAATGGCTATAAAACTCAAAGAAGCTACATTGTAACTAACTTATTCTCAACTGAATAACAAACATGCTATTTATAATAAAACAACCTCAACCCTAAAAGGTAAGAAACCAACACTACAAGCACAGCCATCACAAATAAAAGAGAATTTGCACGGGATATAATAGCTCAAAAATATTGGTGACCCTATTATAAGTAAGTCACAAATAATGTTGCATATAGCAATATTTATCGTGGGTTTGCGAACCCAAAAGAAGGAATAAAGTTTCAGCTTGAAACTGAAAAACCCAGAGCGCGTCGCACTTAGTTCTCTCCCTTGACCACTTCATTTCCCCCACTATTTCGATTGAAAAAAGAAATATGAAGTTCCGCTCGCCCTGATTAGAATTCAATTGGAGATTCTGGAGTAGAATCAAAATTCTTAAAGCAAATTCTGGCATACAATTCAAATTTTTGTAAGCCACTGCAATCATCTTCATTATTTTAAGTTCTTATCATTAAATAAAAATGACACGCCGGACCCGTGCATCCATTACAGACATTGTTTATGAAACTGAATATTATTTATGAAACTGAACACTATTTACAAAATTGCACTATTTATGAAACTGAACGAAACTACACTATTTATTGGTCCAATTTCATAAATAGTATCTATTTCTTTGTCTACTTTCATAAATAGTGCCTAGTTCTTGGTCATGTTTCTTAAATAATGTCTAGTTATTAGATCCAGTTTCATAAACAATGAATAGTAATTGGTACAGTATCTCTTTCTTGGTCTATTTTCATAAATAGTGTCTAGTTATTGGTCCACTTTCATAAATAGTGTCTAGTTCTTGGTCAAGTTTCATAAAT